GGAGGATTGCTGTGAGTATGAGGTCAGCCTCCACAGTGAACCCTTGTTTCAGATATAGATAGGTAGGTACATACATGAAAGATATAGATAGATCATAGATATGTAGATGTAGATAGATCATAGATATGTAGATAGAGATAGATCATAGATATGTAGATGTAGATAGATCATAGATAGATATGTAGATGTAGATAGATCATAGATATGTAGATGTGGATAGATCATAGATAGATATGTAGATAGGGATAGATCATAGATAGATATGTAGATAGAGATAGATCATAGATCATAGATATGTAGAGATAGATCATAGATAGATATGTAGATAGAGATAGATCATAGATATGTAGATAGAGATAGATCATAGATAGGTAGATAAATGAATCATAGACACACAGATAGATCATAGAGAGGTAGATGTCTGACCTCTCCAGTGATGGGATTGCTTGCATGGGGCTGAGGGATGAATACTGGGGATGGAGGTGTTTCATTTCCCATCAGGCCTCTGCTGTAGAGAGGCCTGGTTCCTGGTGCTCAGGAGTACAGCACCCTTCCGTCTGTCCCTGCTGACTGTGCTGCTTCTCTGTCTCCTCAGCACCCTGGCGCCTCCACCACCGCGGATGCTCAAGGGTGTGGTTCGGGTTGGCATCCTGGCCAAGGGCCTGGTCTTGCGCGGGGACCACAGTGTGCAACTGACCCTGCTGTGCTCTAAGAAGCCCACGCACTCCCTGCTGCAGAGGATCAAGCAGGAGCTGCCCAGAGAGCTGTCGGTAAGGGCAAGGCTGGAGAGACAGCGGAGAGGCCCACAGGGCTGGGGTGACGCCATCGTCTCGCTCATACGTGTTGGCATCTGAGTTCCAGTGTCTAGAACCCATGTAAAAAGCTAGTCACAGGTCTGGCGGTGGTGCGCACCTTTAATCCCAGCACTCGGGAGGCAGAGGCAGGCGGATCTCTGTGAGTTCGAGGCCAGTCTGGTCTACAAGAGCTAGTTCCAGGAAGGCAGAACTACACAGAGAAGCCCTGTCTTGAAAAACCAAAACAAACAAACAAACAAAACAAGATGGAAAAACAATTGAGAAACATTCTGACTTCAGTCTCTGGCCCTGACATGCACAAAAGAGGAATCAGCCACACACCTGTCATCCCAGCAGCTGAGGCAGGGGGATGACAAGCTCTACCCAGGGCTGAGTCAGTAGCTCAGTGGTGAGCACTCTCAGGTGCAAGGCTCTGGGCTCCATTCCCAACACTGACATGTACATGCACACACACGTTCACACACGTTACACATGCACACACACTCACACACGTTACACATGCACACACACGTTACACATGCACACACACTCACACACGTTACACATGCACACACGTTCACACATGTTACACATGCACACACACGTTCACACACGTTTGCGCACGTTACACATGCACACACACGTTCACACACGTTTGCGCACGTTACACATGCACACACGTTCACGCACGTTACACATGCACACACACAGTTGTGTCTGTGCACCCATAGGGTGACTGCCTGTGAAAGGCTGTGTTTCCTTCCCGTTCTGTCATATGCGTCACCAGCCGCTTTTCTACTAAGTTGCTGTCCTATGTGCAGCAGTGGCTCCTCAGCCTCCCTGGCGGGTCTCAAGCCGCCCAGGCCTTCCCAGCACAGGGCTGGCCCTGGCATCAGGCACACTAGGTGGACAGATGGGCACACGGGCAGTACCGTTCTGTGTGCATGGGGCTCCTGTCATGTGTACCCCAGATAGTGGCAGAAGACAAGTACGAGGTCTCATCTGACCGCGACGCCAACATCGTTATCTCAGCCTGCGTGGAGCCGGGGGTGAAGGTCACTGTATCCGCCACTTCACCCCTGATGCGCGAAGACCCCTCCGTAAAACGAGGTACATCCCCAACTTCCTGTCCTAGGTCTCCAGGGCACAGCAGATACACCCTGCCCTGGGTAGGACCCCCAGTGGCCTCACTAGCTCTGGGTCACACATGGTCACGTGGGGTCATGCAGGGTCACACGGGGTCACGTAGGAGCAAATCTGGGGCAGTCGAGCTAACAGCTAACTCTCTGGACCTTTGCACGTGCTTGGAAAGTCCTCTCCTGCTGAGCGCACCTCTCCATGGAGTTTAGGGACAGGGCCTCTCTATGCAGCTGGGCCCAGGCCTGAGACTTGCAGGCTGTCACTACTTCAGCATACGGTTGTGTACAGTAGTGACCCAGCTGTAGGTGTGGGCACGGTGTCAGCGTGTACAGTAGTGACCCAGCTGTAGGTGTGGGCACGGTGTCAGCGTGTACAGTAGTGACCCAGCTGTAGGTGCGGGCATGGTGTCAGTCCTTTATCCCAGTGCTCAGGAGGCTGAGCAGAGAGGCCTCCACTGGGAGCTGGAGCCCAGTGTGCAGTGCAGAGGAACAGGGCCACCCTGTGAGGCAGGGACTCAGTGTCCTGTCCCTTCTAGGACTGCAAGACTCTCTGCCTGACCCAGAGGATGTCCTGGACAGGGAGCGGTGCCTTGAGACCCTGGCCGCCCTCCGTCATGCCAAGTGGTTCCAGGTCAGGACCCGGGGTGGCTGAGGTGGGGACAGTCACCAGCCACAGTTTGTCTCAGAGTCCCACTGACCACCAGTGTGTATCCCCCCCAAGGCTCGAGCCAGTGGCCTGCAGCCGTGTGTGATTGTCATCAGAGTTCTGCGGGAACTGTGTCGCTGCCTGCCCCCCTGGGGGGCCCTGCCTGCCTGGGTAAGGCCGCAGGGGACAGTGAAAAACCACAAGTGGGGGTCCAGCCTGGTCTCCTCTCGGCGCCCGACTAATCCAGAGTGGGTCACTGTCATGTTTGACTGTCACCTTAAATGCCAAAATGGGGGGTAAAGCCCAGAATGCAGGTGTCCCAGGGAATATACTTGCTTCACAAGAGCCATCAGCATCAGGGCAGGAGCCAGGGCGCCCCTGGAACTTGAGAACACTCATGTCCTCACAGACACGTACTCCAGCATAGCCTTGTTCACCAATCCTGCCCCCTTCCAAGCTACAGTGTCCCGTCATGTCCCCCAAGCCCTGGCCCTGTGTCCCCTTCAGGCCATGGAGCTGCTGGTGGAGAAGGTTCTGAGCAGCGCGCCCCGGCCCTTGAGCCCAGGGGACGCCATGCGGCGGGTCCTGGAGTACGTGGCCACAGGCGCGCTCCTGACAGGTCAGTGATGGGACAGGCGTGGGCGGGAGGCTAGGCTATGGACGGCAGATACAGCGGCCATCCACATCCACACACAAGAGAGGTCATCTATACACGCTGGAAGAGTGGCCCATAGCCTAGAGCACAGGGGCAGAGGTATGTCGCATCCTTTAGGGACTCCGTGGTGACTATGGCGCCACACCGTGGGGCTGGGCTGCGGCTCATCTAGTGTCCCCGGAGCCCCTGGGTCTCAGCCCAGCACTGCACAGTCCAGGCCTGGTGGACAGCTGCCACCCCAGCACTTGGGATGAGGAAGGGCCACAGTGCCCTCCGAAGGGACAGAAGTGGGCCCCGATGGGTGATTCTGGGTGGGAAAAGAGGGCCAAGGGTCAGGCCTGTCCTGTGGGCTGTCACACAGGCTGGGGCGTGCTTACCCACCCAGGGACAAAAGGGCTGTAGGGGACCCATGCAATGTGCCCAGGCTGTATGTTATCGAGGCAGACCTGGCCCAGTGTGGCCCATGGGTCGCTACAGGCAAACACAGACTACAAGTGAAGTTACCCCGCTAGTACCCTCACAAGGGTGTCTACCTTCTCCCTGGTTCAGATGGCCCGGGGCTGCAGGACCCCTGTGAGAAAGGCCCACAGGATGCCCTGGAGCCCATGACCCCACAACAGCGGGAAGACCTGACGGCCAGTGCTCAGGTACACGGGTCCCCATCCTCCTCCTGCAGTCTGGACTCAGGAATGGGGCTGGGAGTGACAGACAGCTCCAGAGGGCAGCACTGAGTGGCCTGGGCCACAGAAGTCCAGGGCTCCACTGTCCTACACGGAGCCCTAGGCTCCATCCTGGGCACTGGGTATGAAGGCAGGAGGAGCAGAAATTCAAGGCTGTATAGAAAGTTTGAGGTTAGCCTGGGCCTGGTGTCAAAGAAAATACCTCAGCCACACTGCCACTTTCAGAGGAGCCAGGTGTCTTGCACTGAATTCAAGGTGGGGTCCCAAGGGCTCCAGGCCATCCCGTGCCAGTAGCCAGAGGTGGCATTCCCCAGGCTGCATGCCTGTCACCAGAAACTAACAAGGAACAGAACAGCCCTGCTCCCTGGTCCCTGCAGAGGGCAGGCCTGACAGGACCCCGCTGTCCACAGCGTGCCCTGCGTCTCGTGGCCTTCCGGCAGATACACAAGGTCCTTCACATGGAACAGTTACCTCCGCGGACCAGATTTGGGGCCCGGGCCCGGAAGAGGATGAGGGAGGCTAGTCAGGCCCAGGAGGGCTCTGGGGAGAGAAAGCGGGGCCGGCAGGGCTGCCCTGAGCCAGCATCACCACAGGCCTGAACCTGCTCGGGCCTCCTGGGTCTGTAGCCTTGTCCACATGCGGTGACCCTGTGCCATGGCTCCGTCATCCCCACCCCCAGGCAGCAGTGACTTCCACTCCTTGATACTAATTAATTTGAAACTCCCTTGATGTCACATGAAGTAGGTGGGATCTGAATCACTTCCTTGAAATGCCAGGAAGGGTGGCCTGGAAGATTTTAGAAGTCACAGAGTTGGGGTGGCGGGGTGGCGGAGCAGAGAGCACAGAATGGGATTCCCCAGACCCCAGACCCAATCCTGTCCTCCACACAGACTCCAGCTCCACCCCAGCGGTGAGTCCTATGGTCCCTGGGACGCTGTCCCCCACAGTGGAACCCAGCCCCAGTCACTGAGTGCCTTTGCAGACAGGGCCCACTCTGCCCCAGGTCACCCTGTGGACCCCTGAGCCCCCCGGGACTACCCAAGGCTTCAACCCTGCTCCATTCTGCCTGTGGCTTTTAAAGGCACAATGCCTGGAGTCTGTAGAATCATCCAGAACTTGGCCGGGGTGGGTAATAAATCAGATCTGCCTGTGTGCCCTGTGGCTTTCGTGTCCTTCACTCTGGGTGTGGGGGTGGAAGTGCCCACAGGCCTCAGTCTCCCCACACCAGCCTGCCTCATGAGCGTGGGCTGATCTCCGCCCGCCCCGGGAAGGGCCTGGTCAGGAGCAGAATGCTTCCTGGAGGAGGTGCCTCGGAGTGCAAGGCCCCAGGCCTTGGGAAAGTCTCCCTTCCAGTTTCCCTCTTCTCCCTGAGCGCCCTCCTCCCGGTGGAACCCCGAATCTAAGCTCAGCCTCCATGAGAGCAACCCTCCAGTGTGCGGAGACCAGTCATACTTCCTCCCAGCCTCCGCCTCCACACTCCACCCTCCCCCGCCCTGATAAGGGTACAGTGCAGGCAGTGTCCTTATCAGACAGAAAAGTGTACTGGCTGGGTCTGGCTGGGCCAGGCACGCGTGGGTAGCCAAACCAGGAAGCCTCTTTCTGGTGGCGCTCAGCCTGAGGCTGGCTCAGGGGGGGACAGTGCTTCACAGCTGGGCGATCTCACTAGTGGAGGGAACTGGTGGCCGCGACCTTGGTCTAGGCTCAGTGCTGGGAAAGCACCGCGCCCCACCGCTCCGCGCTGAGCCCCTCCGCCAAGCCCACCCGTGTCTCCCTGGGAAGGCAGATGAGTCCACGCCAGGTGACAAAGAGTTAAGTCGGACCCGCCTAGCAACCCCAAACCACGGCGCTTCCGCGACAAATCCAGCATTTGGTGATTTCAGTCCAGATGGAGTCCTGTTTGGGCTGTGCAGCTCCCTGAAGCCTCCAAGAGCCGCAGCAACTGACCGGCCCGCCCAGGTCCTGTCCCCGCGAGGCAGGGGACCCCGCAGCAGGCCAGCCGAGGGTCAGGGGCACAAGCCTGGACCCCAGACAAGGCAGGAAACCGAGCGCCAGGGTATTGAGGGAGAGCTGGACCCGGGCTGCGGATGCAGGGGAGCGTTGCTAGGAGACAAGGTAAGTGTGGGTGGGTGACGCGTGCGTGTGGGCGGGCCGCGGTCCAGGTAGGAGGGGTTGGGGAGATGGCTGCCTGCAGGAGGTCACTGCTGACCTCAGGAAGGGCAATGATCACCAGGGCTCGAAGTAAGAGCCAGCTGGAGGACGGGTGCTCCTCAGGAGGGGATCGCAGTCCCCCGCGGGCCTTGCCTGTCCCATGTTCACTGACGTTTTGAAAATAAAACGCTGCGTGATTGTCACTGGCCAAGGAGACACCAAAGACTTCTCTAAGGAACGAATGGGCACACATGGCGCGGTCAAGCCACTCGCTGGAATATTATACAGCCATGAAGGGCATTCTGATCCCTGCTCGAATGCAGGTGGCCCTGGAGGACATAATGTCCAGTGACAGGGGCCACACACCACAGGGTTGGTGTCATCAGACCCACAGAGATAGGAAGTGGTCAGTGAGGGCCCTGGGCAGGGGAGGGCATGGAGTTAGTGTGGGATGGGGAGACAGTTCTGAACACAATGATGCCAGTGGCAGTGGGAGTGAGCGAGCCGTGCTGCATGCGGAACTGAGATGGGGAAAAGTGACTTTCACGTCACAGGCATTTGTTAAAATTTTATAATGGATATCGCCGGGTGGTGGCGCACGCCTTTAATCCCAGCACTCGGGAGGCAGAGGCAGGCGGATCTCTGTGAGTTTGAGGCCAAGACATGCTCCAAAGCCACAGAGAGACCCTGTCTCAGACAACAACAAAGTGTATCTGCGTGCATACGTGTGTGGTTGTGTGCATGTGTGCGGCTGCAGTCAGAGACCAACCCTTGGGAGTCTCTCTTCACGGTGTGTGTCACGGAGAGTATATGTAGGCATGGGACAGCCTCGCCCTCTGGGTTCTCACTCCTGCTCCGTGTCCTGGTTTTTGGACATGCAGTGTGGGTGGGTGGCCTATGAGCATATTATTTTAATCTCTGTTCTTCAGCTGACACGACAGGAAGCCAGCTCTTATTGCCAGTCCTTGTGGGTTTTGTGTAGTATGACCAGGAGTCCTGAGCTAGCCTGGGCTACACAGTGAAACCCTGCCATAAAAACTAAAAAGGATGAGCCAGCCTGGGCTACACAGTGAAACCCTGCCATAAAAACTAAAAAGGATGAGCCAGCCTGGGCTACACAGTGAAACCCTGCCGTAAAAACTAAAAAGGATGAGCCAGCCTGGGCTACACAGTGAAACCCTGCCCTAAAAACTAAAAAGGATGAGCCAGCCTGGGCTACACAGTGAAACCCTGCCGTAAAAACTAAAAAGGATGAGCCAGCCTGGGCTACACAGTGAAACCCTGCTGTAAAAACTAAAAAGGATGGTAGAGGGTGAGAGCAGCTGAGCCCTAAAGAGAGCAAGGGTCATTTCCCTGCAGGAAGCCTGGTCCTTCCCTGAATCTTGGAGTCCCCTAGCATGAGAAGCACCAAGAAGAGCTAATTTTAAAGGCATGTTAATTGGGGCAGCAGGATCTGGCCAGGGATGCAGGCTGCAAGGGAGCCATCTCTATGGCAACTGAGTGTCCCCAGTGCCTTGACTGATGACGGTGAGTGCCAGGGCCTCAGTTTCTCCATCTACAAGATGGGCACAATGCCTGCTCCCTGCACAGGGAAGCAGGCAGCTTTTGACACCTCTGAAGGTAGTGGCTTTATAAAAATCCATTTGTAGAGCTGGGCATGGTGGCACATACCTGTCATCCCAGCACTCAGGATGCTGAGGCAGGAACATGGCCAGTTCTAGGCTAGCTTGGACTATGAGTGAAAGTGTCTTAAAGAGAAGTGTTAGGGCATTTTCTATCTGTTCTGTAGACAGAGACTCATGTAGTCGTCCCAGGTAGCTGAGGCTGACCTTGAACTCCTGACCTGTAGCGCGCGAAGATGTAGCTCACGGAGATGTAACACTGACCCATTATTGCTTCAGTCTCCCCATTACTGGAATGACAGGCGCATACCACCACACCTGGTGTAGAGACCAGGGCTTTGTGCACATCAGGCGAGTTCTATGCCCGTGAGTCCAGCCCCAGCCTCCTGTGGCACGAAAAACATGCTTAAACACATTTAGGTCCCATGTCAAGTGTCCAGGGCTTCACAGGCTAGGGCTGTGGTCAGCAGTGCCACGTGCGGGCAAGAGCTTCCTGGCCGTGGTGTTTCCTCTGCTCGGTCTGTGGCTCAGCACGTCTATTTCAGGCAGCTGCGATGGCTTACCAACGAAAATGGATCCTTAGTGTTCCTGGAATCACTGCCACGGGGCCCCCAGTGAGAGGGTAACCACACCTCAGATCCCCACCCAGCTCTGCCTCCCCTAACCCACAGGGACAGTACTATTATCATTTAACACATAAGCTCATAAGCTTTCCTTTCCTTTTTTTTTTAAATATTTAATTATTTAATAAGCATACAATATACTTCTGGCATGGAAGGCACCAGGTCTCATTACAGATGGTTGTGAGCCACCATGTGGTTGCTGGGAATTGAACTCAGGACCTCTGGAAGAGCAGCCAGTGCTCTTACCCTCTGAGCCACCTCTCCAGCCCTCCTTTTTTTTTTATTTATTTATTTATTTTTTTTTAACAAGGTCCCAGGTAGCCCAGCCTGGCCTCAGATTGACTCCATAGCCGAGGTTGACTTTAACTCCCTTCCCCCTTGCTTCTCCCTCCCCAGTGCTGGGGTGACAGGCCTGTGACCACAGTGTGCCACCTACTGAGCCCCCAAGCCCCAGGCCTGTCTTCTGCATCTTTGCCAGCTGTAAGTACCAGAGAAAACATCTGGACAAAGTCCATTTGGCAAAGCAACCAGGGAGGCGGTCAAGGCCAGCAGCTCACAGCACTACGACCCCCACGCTGCAGTCCTGGCCCCTCAGCCTGGGCCTCCACTCCCCGCTGAGCTGTGAGCCTGGCGCACACACAGGCACTTTCAGAAAGGCCAGGCTCCTCCTGCTGTGGGGATGCTCCAGCCTGTAAGGTCTCAGCACCCCATGAATGGAACCTGTGCAGGATGGGTCAGATCTGATCAGAAAGCAGCCGGTTACCGCATAAGCTCGGGCCACGGCAGCACCAGTGGGTATCTCCTGCAGCGTGGGAGCGGCAGTAGGAAGGAAGCCTCCGGGTCAGTTCCTGTGACTCAGACGTGTGGTGTCTTCAGCAATGAGGGTCACCCAAGAGCAGAAGTTGGTTTGCAGTCTCTGGTTCTCCCTGGCCCGTGACTCCCAGGTGGGCACCCACACCTGGTTGGAGACCTGTGGCTGTGGTCTCACAGCCATCCATGAGGGCATGTTTGTCCAGACTTGTCCGCTTCTCCTGAGCCGCCCCAACCCACCCCTACTCTCTTTAATTAGTTAAATAGGTTTTATTTTATTCGGCTTTTGTTTGTTTGGGGTTTTTTTTGTTCTTTTTTTGTTTTTTGTTCTTTGGGTTTTTTTTTTTTTTCCAGTCAAGGTCTCGCCACTGCCACGTAGCTCTCTAGCCCAGGCTGGCCTTGAACTCACAGAGATCTGCCTGCTTCTGCCTCCTGAGTTCTGGGGTAACATTCAAGAGCCCCACAGCAGGAGGAGCCTGGCCTTTCTGAACTGTACTTGTAAGTGTTAGCGCCAGGCTCACAGCTCAGCGGGGAGTGGAGGTCCAGGCTGTGGGGCCAGGGCTGCAGCGTGAAGGTAGTTGTGCTGTGAGCTGCTTGCCTTGATCGCCTCCCCACACGGGGAGCTCCTTCCAATTCCTTGTACTTGCGCGTGCGCGAGCCGTTCCTTGCTCCTAGCTTTTCCGGGGTGGTCTACGGAAGGCCGGGACTCAGCGGAGACCCAGAGGACATCGGGCACCAAGCACCCGGCACCCAGCATCCCGAGCCCGGGAGGCGGAGCGGGAGGAGGCGGTAGCACGGCCCGTAGTGCGGCCGGCGCTAGGACCCGCAGGGGCTCCGAGCCGGGTCCCCTCCATCCTCGCCCCAAAATGAGGAAGCGGAGCAAGTTGCTCCGAGTTGAGCCTTGGGGCGCACGACCCGTTGGCGGGCACCCTCTCGGGGTTGCGCCCTGAGCAGGTGAGCGCGTGTGCGCGGGTGGAGAGGGGACGCCCCTCAAAACGGTGCTGGACCCGGGGACGTCAGGTGCCAGGGCTGGGTATTTTTTTTTCTGGGTGCGGCGTGCGCGTCTCTGAGTGCGCGCGCCCTGGTGGTCACTGCAGGGCCCATGTGTGCTGCAGACACACGCACAGGTGCCCGCGTCTAGCCGGCACCCGTGTCTAGCCGGCACCCGTGTCTAGCCGGCACCCGTGTCGCGCGCACACGGATGGCAGGGTGGCACCTGTGCCCAGATGCACGTGGGCCTCCGCCTGCGCGCAGCTGCCCTGCAAAACCCACTGAGCCCGAGACCAGAAGCTCACCTCAACCTTCTGCCCTGGCCTCTGCCAGCCATCAGCTGGGTACCCCAGCAGTCACTGCCCTGCGCTGTCCACGCTGGGGTCGTGTGGGTCCTTCCAGATGCTTCCTTAGTGACCCCTGGTGACCTGAGGAGCCACTTAGGAGCCCGGCCTCCCCAGACTCCACCCAGGGTCAGATTCCCAGGAATGACCTTGAGTCACCGCCCCTGCCCACGGCCCAGGAAAGAGGAAGCTGCGGGCCCAGCTCTTGGCACCGTCCTCCCCACACACAACCCTGGCTGCCACCAGAGTCATCGGATCCCTACACTCCTTCTGCTAGGCCTCAGTTTCCCTTCCGGAGCAATGGCAGGGCAAGGCTCCGGGGTCTCCTGGCTGGCCTTTGATGGCTGGGAGTCTAAGGACCTTCCTCGGGTAAAGATAACTTCCCAAAGCCTGGACTGCAGAGGGGTTACTACCTAAGCTACCTAAGGGTTGATTGAGGAGGTTCTTTGCCTCGTGGTGCTGCCTCCACCCGGCCAGGCCCAGCGGAAGGAACTGAACCTGGGGACATCTAAACATCACACTGACTCCTCCACAGGTGAGCCCTCGCTTCCTCCGAGCCTGGCACCCCTCGCCTGTCGCAGCTAGGATGCCAACCGTGAGTTACCAGACCTTCCTCAACTGTCCTGGGGGAGGGCGTGCGCCCCGAGGCAAGCTCCCACCCCTGACATTCCCCCAGGGACTGGGCCAGTCTGGCCACCCAGGCCTCTACATATGACTGTGATTCTGGTCTCTCTGTCTCTCTCTCTGTGACTCAGTTTCCCTTCCATCCACTCCAAGTTTGCTTTTATTTATCTATTTATTTACTTACTTACTTATTGTTTTATTTTGCTTTTGACACCAGGTCTCACTATACAGATGAGCCTGGCTTGGAACTCAGTATATAAGCCAGGCTGGCCTCAAACTCAGAAATCCACCTGCCTCTGCCTTCCAAGTTCTGGAACTACAGGTGTGGGCCACCACCCCCAGAATTATTTTTTAGTTTTTTTTGAGAAAAGTTCTCACTGCAGCCCAGGCTGACCTTTAACTGGTCTGGAATCCTCCTGTCCCAGCCACCTGCGTGCTAGGCCCGTGTCTTCGCCATTCCCTGTCCTGTCTTCAGCTCCCAATTTCTCCCGTCTCCCTGTCCCTCCCAATTTTCACAGCTCCCTCCTGTCCCTGACACCCCCCGGCCTCTGTCTCATCTCCAGAGGCGCTGGGCCCCTGGGACTCAATGTATGACCAAGTGTGAGAACTCACGCCCCAAGCCTGGTGAGCTGGCCTTTCGGAAGGGCGACATGGTGACCATCTTGGAGGCCTGTGAGGTGAGGGGGCGCTGAAAAGTAGTTGGGGTGCATTTAGGGGTGCCAGGACAGACTCCCTGAGCTCCTTCCCTCCCGGTGCAGGAGAAGGGCTGGTACCGCGCCAAGCACCACGGCAGTGGGCAGGAGGGGTTGCTGGCGGCCACTGCTCTGCGCCAGCGGGAGGCCCTTTCTGCAGACCCCAAGCTCAGCCTCATGCCGTGAGTGGTGCCCTGGTGGGGTGGGTGGCATCAGGGCCCCAGCCTCCCTACGCCACACTGTATCCTCTCCCCGGGGGTCCCCACAGATGGTTCCACGGTAAGATCTCGGGCCAGGAAGCCGTGCAGCAGCTGCAGCCCCCCGAGGACGGGCTGTTTCTCGTGCGAGAGTCTGCTCGTCACCCCGGAGACTATGTCCTGTGTGTTAGTTTTGGCCGAGACGTCATCCACTACCGTGTCCTGCATCGAGACGGCCACCTCACCATCGACGAGGCCGTGTGTTTCTGTAACCTGATGGACATGGTGGAGGTGACCTGGGAAACCGCTGGAGCAGGAGGGGTGGCAAGATAGTGGGGGGGGTGTCTCCAGGAGCCTCACTGTCCCTAGAACTGGGGTCACTTCTCCAGGGAGCCCCACGGGGACAACAACCGCCCCTCACCTCCCACTCTGCACCCCCACTATTGCCATGGAAACCAGTCACCTTAGCCTGGTGCACGGGTAATTCTGTCTACCCCACTGTGGAGACTGTGGTGGGAGGAGTGAGGGGCAGGGGGTCCCTGGAGGCAGAGGCTTATGGCTCCCACTTCCCACAGCACTACACCAAGGACAAGGGGGCCATCTGTACCAAGCTGGTGAAGCCCAAGAGGAAACAGGGTGCCAAGTCGGCCGAGGAGGAGCTCGCAAAGGGTATGGCAGTCACCCAGGAGAGATCTTCTCATACGCACCAGCCCAGACACAACCTCAGCCTCCCACGTCTCAGCCTCAATCGCTCATCCTTAAGCCCCTGCCGTGGCTTGGTTAAACCCTAGTCTTCCAAGCCTGGCTGTCACACGTCTCCGTAGGGCCTGGAGTCCCAGACAAACCCAGGACAGAGCGAGGTGTCTATCCTGCTAGACTCTTCAGAGCTGGGGACTGGAGAGCTTTGCGGGGAAGGAGGGGGCCTTTCAGAAGCAGGGTGTGTATAGAGTGCAAAAGCCTGTCGGAGACAAGATCAGGAATATTCCAGAACTTGTGTCCCCCCAGAGGCCTGGAGGAGCCCAGGCAGCCACAGCCCCTATCCCTGAGGGAGGTCCTGAAGCCACAGCTGAAGTCAGGGGAACCTGGTGGGACTGAATTCTGATGACCTCCTGGACTGACTGTGGCTTGCAGGATTGTAACTGGCACCGGGGGTGGGGTGTCTGCCATACAGCCTTGGGGCAGCCGCTGGGTGGGCACATGCGTAGCTCTGGGGGTGTTAGCACTCCACAGCTCACTGGACGCAAGTGGGCTGTGGCTCTGACCCGGTCTCTCTGCCCCTGCAGCTGGCTGGCTACTCGATCTGCAGCACCTCACTCTGGGAGCACAGATTGGAGAGGGGGAGTTCGGAGGTGAGGAGGGGGCGCAGAAGGCAATGCCGGCACCTCCCAGGCAGCCCCGCCCTCATCGCCTAGGAGCTCTGCTCAGAATGCTGGGACTTAGACCAGAGGACAGTGAACACGCGCGGTCACCATGCCTTGTCCGTCCCGAGCAGCTGGAAACTATGCAAACATGGGCAGGACCTGTGGGCTTCTTCATGGAAGAGAAATTTGAATTCTGAATAATGAGACAGCCATTGTATTTGCATTATTTCTCTTTTGGGGACTGGGAATGGACCAAGGCCACGCCCCCAGCCCCTCACTGGGGATTCTAGGCGGGGCTCCACCCTGACCACGCCCCCAGCCCCTCACTGGGGGATTCTAGGCAGGGCTGTCAGCAGGTTTGTCTGTCTTGCTGGTGGGTCCTGAGCTCTATCCCCCCCCACACACACAGCCGTCCTGCAGGGTGAGTACCTGGGGCAGAAGGTGGCCGTGAAGAACATCAAGTGTGACGTCACAGCCCAGGCCTTCCTGGATGAGACGGCTGTGATGACGTGAGTGGCCGGGTGGGGCTGGGTCCCAGGGTTGGGGTGCCGGTCTGTACTCACTTCCCACCACCCCCACCTCCCGCCCCGCCCCGTGCCCCCAGAAAGCTGCAGCACAGGAACCTGGTACGGCTCCTAGGCGTGATCCTGCACCACGGCTTGTACATTGTCATGGAGCACGTGAGCAAGGTGTGTGGGGTGGCAGATGGGTGGATGGGCGGGGTGGCCCAACAGCCTGGAGACCCCCAGGTCCCTCCCCCCAAACAGGGCAACCTGGTGAACTTCCTGCGCACGCGGGGCCGCGCCCTCGTGAGCACATCTCAGCTCCTGCGGTTTTCCCTGTAAGTGGCATTCCTTCCGGGAAGGTAGGTCCCGAAGTCGAATGGGAAACTGAGGCCTGAGTGCAGGGTGACTGGCCTTGTCTGTCCCTAGACATGTTGCTGAAGGCATGGAGTACCTGGAAGGCAAGAAGCTGGTACACCGGGACCTGGCTGCTCGCAACATCCTGGTCTCTGAGGACCTGGTGGCCAAAGTCAGTGACTTTGGCCTAGCCAAGGCTGAGCGGAAGGGACTGGACTCCAGCCGGCTGCCAGTCAAGTGGTCAGCACCCGAGGCTCTCAAGAATGGGGTGAGCAGTGTTCCACCCCTGAGGTTTTGGGGTTCCTCAGAGGGAGCTTGATGTTGTGACTGCTGTGTGACCCTATGCACATCCCTCGATCTCTCTGAGCTTCAAGGGGAAATGGGTCCTCCAGTGAGCCCAGGGCTCAGGGCAGCCCTTCTGGCATGGACTTAGCATGGAGGGGAGAGTAGCCTAGGAGCGTGTCCAGAGAGGCCGCGGGGCTCCTGCTCACCCTGACCTCTGCCCCCACAGCGGTTTTCCAGCAAATCAGACGTCTGGAGTTTTGGGGTGCTGCTGTGGGAAGTTTTCTCATATGGAAGAGCTCCGTACCCCAAGATGGTGAGCAGCACCCTGGGAAGGGTGCCCTGTGCATCCTATGTTGCTGACCTCCTACCCACACTCCACGCTCTATGTCTGCAGTCGCTGAAGGAGGTCTCAGAGGCCGTGGAGAAGGGTTACCGCATGGAGCCCCCCGACGGCTGCCCAGCCTCTGTGCACACCCTCATGGGCAGCTGCTGGGAGGCCGAGCCTGCACGCAGACCTCCCTTTCGCAAAATAGCAGAGAAGCTGGGCCGTGAGCTCCGCAGCGCGGGTACCGCAGCTCCCATTGCGGGACAGGAAGTTGAGGGTTCAGCTCCCCCACGGAGCCAGGATCCCTGACCCTGAAACAGGGAGCAAGAGGACACAGGTTCATGGTCACGGCACCAGGATGGGCCAGTGCACAGGCTCCCAAGTCCCTGAACCCCCAATAAAGAGTGATCGGAAGGACTGGTACACTTGTGTCTCTGTGAAGCCCGTGTCTGCCCCTCCTCCCCCTTGAGCTCCCTGCACTCGCCTGTGGCAGGCCTGACCTGCCCCCACTGTCCTGAGTCCACACGATTATTGATGCCTGTGCTGTTGCCCCAAGTCCCTGCCTACTCTACCTTGCTCCTGCCAGCCTGTGAGGCCAGAGGCCTCTGGGGAATAGGCGGGCTGGGGATCTGCTTGTCATCAGCCCCCAGGGCCTTGCCTCCTTCATCCTCTCTTATCTTCAGTGGACTCAGGGGCACCTGCTGGGAAGGGAGCCTGAGTCACTGCAGGCTAAGGAGGTGCTACAGAAGAGAGCCTAAAGGGCCCCCCCATGTAGCAGCACTAAGTTGGGGCGTTCAGATCACATCCCATTTCATGGTGTGGGGTGAATGAGGGGTGTCCATGTCACAAAAGGGACAGGTACCAGGACAGCAAGTCTCTTGCCCATAGAGAAGGTAGAGGGTGCAGAGGGGACCCAGACTCTCTGGATCCAAGGCCAAGGTGGTTTTCTTCCATGGAATTTCAGACATCAAAGTAGAGCCAAGCTGGTGGTCAAAGGCTGTGTCAGTAACACTGAGAATGTAGCAGACAGGACGCTGTCTACCTTCACATCCCAACTATCAACGAGGCCCACGACCCACACAACCATCCACTCCCACCTTCCAGACCACCCTGCATCTTCCCGCCTCGTCACTCTTACGCTTCACAAAGCCATTCCCCACCCCCTGCTGGCCCGTCCACAAGTGTGCACATACCATAGGCTGTGCTGACACCAAGCACTCAAGAAGACACAAAATTTCCCTCTTAACTACGGAGAGCTGGGGAGCTCATTCTGGTCCATGCTGATGTTGCCATGCCAACAGTATGGCAAACACTGACCAAGGGGAAGGAGGAGGTCCAGGTGCTCCAGGCAGAGAGCATGGCCAGGCTGTGTCCCCAGTGGAGGAATGCTGGAGCCCATGTGGCTGCTGCCGAGAGGAGGAAGGAGGCAGGTGGGGGAAATCAGGGGCACCAGCCTGGCTCTACTCTAAGTTTGCCACAAGGCGTTTGGGGTAAGATGGCTGTTGCCAAGAAAGGCTCCATAGACTCCTACTGTATAGGCAGGGCCTCACACCCCTCCAGTGAGGCACAGGAGGGCAGCAGAACCACACGATTGGTCCCGGGGAGCAGGCCCTGTCACCTTGGTGTCTCTTTCCCCGCACACAATCTCACCCATTCTCGTAGTTCATAGTTCAGCTGGACAGAGAGCTGCCTGGGAACTGAGGGGAACTTGGGCCACATGATGCTGGCAAAGACAGGTTCAGCTCTGGGGTCCGACAATGGACAAGCAAGACCCATCCCAGAAGGAAGGCAACAGCACTCAGCCCTGCGCCTAGCTCCCTTCAGCTGGCCTGGCCGGGGGCCTATGCTGCCCCTCTCCGCCCGGAGTCCCCAGACCAGGCCGAGTCACAGCCCTCAGTGTTGACTGTTGACGCTCTTGGGTTTTAGCCTTACCTGAAGGCCTGGAGCCCAGCCCAGGACCAGCCAGCCTGCCCATCAAGGTCTGGAGCTGAGGCTTCCTAGACAGAGCTCACCGCCACAGACACTTGTCAGTCATTTGTTTCCATACCTGTTTATTGGTGTGTGTGTGTGTCTGTCTGTCTGTCTGTGTGCATTTGGCCTGTGTTGCCAAGCGCACAAGCAGAGGTGGGAGAATTTGCAGGAATCAGTTCTGTCCCTTCCACCATGCGAGTTCTGGGGACTGAACTCGGGTCTTCATGTGGGGCAGTGAGCGCCACTCCCCGTCGAGCCCTCTCGCTGGCCTGGGCCGGGCAGCTTCCTGTGAGATGCTCCATCCTCATGCTACAGCTTCTTGTTCTTGCTTAGCCGGTTGTGACGCCAGATGTTCTGTTTACGCAGCAGTCGCCAGTACTCACGGGACTCGGGTTCCAGCTCCTCCAGCTTTTTGGGGGGACCCAAGTTCATCTGGAATAGCCTGCAGGGAGTGTCAAGATTGCATGGCCACCTCACAGCTCTGGGATGTAGGTGGTGTTGAGCTGGGGCTTTGGCTCTTGCCCTGGTCCCCTCTGTTCCAGCCGCAGGGTCCGGCCACTGCCCCGGAGCAGGCTGTGTCCTGCTCTGGGATCTGCACAGACCACACCTTCCAGCCACTGGACCCTGGCTCCGTGTGGAAACTCAAAATGTGGTTGACAGCCCGGGCTGCACCCGCTCTCCCTGTCTCTCCCAGTGTCCTGGGAAAGTGACCCCACCACACGGGCCCATGAAGCTAACTGTCTGGTCCCCAGCTCACTCCAGGAGATACCAGGGTCTGGACAGCCAGGAATAGACAGCCTTAAATCTCTGTCAAGGAAAACAAAGCCCCCACCTGCCCCCTCTGCCCTCAGGGACACACGGTCCTGTGCACCAGCTCCCCATTTGCAAGCGGGAGTACCAGGGCTTGGCGTCCAGAAGCCAAGGTGGACCAGGGTGGGTGAGACCAGTAGACCCCGGGGTGCCCCTGCAGGCCAGGCATCCACACTCACCACTCGGGGTACTCGGAGTCTGGCTTCAGGGCCACGTCCTGGCCTTCCTTGTAGATGTTCACCCCCATGGCGTGTGTGGTCAGCTGGGCGGGGTCTGTGCACACCTCAGGGTCCTTCAGGGCCTCAGTGGCCATGCTGCCCTTGGCACCTTTGCTGCCCTTCATGACTGCAGAGAGTGAGCTCAGGTCACTCTAGGCCGCCCAGCCCTGCCCCCATGCCTCCGTCTGTGAGGCCTCCTGGCTTTGGCAACTCCGGACACCCCCAGGTATAACAGGGTCCCCTGTCCCCTGTCCCGAGGCTGTGTGGCCTGATCACTCAGCCCCTCTTCCTTTCAATGATGGGGGCAGGACAGGATGTGCCTATTACCCGATGCCCAGGGGTCTCAGCTGAGGCTGGGGGACCATAAGACCCTGTCTCAGAAAAAAAATAAAAAACTAAGGCTAGCGAGATGGCTCAGCGGCTCTACGCCAGCGTGGCAAATATGACTACCTGTGCCAAAAACAAACTAACAAACAAAACTTATTTATATTTTGAGACAAGATATCATTATACAGCTCTCCTGGAACATCAAAAAAGTTTTGTTGTTGTTTTTTGTTTGTTTGTATGTTTTTGAAGACAGGGTTTCTCTATGTAGCCCTGGCTGTTCTGGAACTCACTCTGTAGATCAGGTTGGCCTCAAACTCACAGAGATCCGCCTGCCTGTCTCCTGAGTTCTGGGATTAAAGGTGTGCGCCACCACTGCCCGGCAGAGAAATAAAACATTTAAAAATATATTCTATTGAGATGTGGTCTTCCTGACATGCCTGTAATTCACAGAAACCCCTCTGCCTCTTCGTCCTGAGTGAGGGAATTAAAGGTATTGGCCATCATGTTCAGCCTCAAAACGAAATTTTTAAGTATTAACACGTGGGGGGGGGCTAAGTAGCGCATTTGTGCAGTTGGCCATCTCCTTCCACGTTTACGTGGGTTCTGAGGATCGAACTCAGGCTGCGGGCTTTCCCGGAAGGCGCTTTCACACATTGAGATCTGGTGCCCCTTCTGGTGTGTAGATGTGCAGGCAGAACGGTGTAAACATAATAAATAAATCTTAATTTTAAAAAAAAAAACAGCAATAACTCAATTTCTGCCGGTGGGTTTGGTATTCCAGGCGCCCTGCAGCGGTCGGCGCCTCTGGCCCCCCTGCCCTGCGCAGTAGCAGTTCCCGGAGCCCCGCCTCCCACAGCAGCGCGCCTGCGCACTACGTACTCTCCTGGCCTCCCACCGTGCCCACGTTGGTTCCTCCGGAGGCGCCTCACCTGGCTTCTTGGCGTAGTCCCGGACGGAGAGCGTTCCAGGTCCTCCGGGGACCGGGAGAGCCCGGAGCCGACAGCCGGCCCACATCCGGGAAGCCCCGAGGAGACGGGTGGCCGCCATAATGCTGGCCGGCTTGCACGTGCATGCTTCCGGGCTACGTCACGCTCCGGGGCCGCTTTAGGGCGTCGGCGGCGCCCGCGGCCTTCTGGGTAATGTAGTCGTAGCATTGGGTGGCTAGTGACTAGTTTGAACTCATGTAGTTATCACCCGTTCAAAGAATATTTCAAGAAATTCTTGTCTTTAGAGCCTCATCTACTTAAAATGTCACATTAAGTTCGTGCTTGTATTCTGTGTGGGATTTTTGAAAGTTTAAGAACAAGCCGGGCAGTGGTGGTGCACTCTAATCCCAGCGCTCAGGAGGCAGAAGCAGGTAGATCTCTGTGAGTTCGAGGCCAGCCTGGGCCACAGAGTGAGTTCCAGGATAGCCAGGGCTGTTACACTGAGAAACCCTGTCTCCAAAAACAAACAAAACAAAACAACAACAAAAAGTACCGAAACCAAAACCCAGTCTGTTGCCATGGGAGATGGTGTAACGATCTGTTCTGTCTCTTTAAGAGACAAGCCACGCCCACTCCCCCGCCCCCGTCCGCTGAGGCAGGCAGATCTTCCTGTTTTCAGCCTGAGTCTCTTCCTTTTCTGTCTCCCTCTCGAAGAGGCATCTATGTCTCTCCTTTCTCTCTCTCTCTCCCTTCTCTCTGCCTCTCTCTCTCTGCCTTTCTGCTCTCCTCCTCTTCTTCATAGTCCACTAAATAAATATGGAACTCACTCAGCACTGTCCATGGCTCTGTCTCTCACCCGCCGCCGCATGTCTCCCTGCCCAGGACCAGCTGCCTGCAGAGACATGCAGCATGGTCTCATGGCCAGCTGCCTGCTGCAGCCACTCGGACACCTGCAGCTTTTTTTATTTAATCCACTACAGATAGAGACAGGAGAATCAGGATCAGGGTAGCTCTCTGCTCCGCATCAAGTTTGAGGTCAGCCTGGGCTATGTGGCACCTTGGCTTAGACATAAGGTGGCCGAGTGTGGTGTGCTCCACCTTAATTCTAGCGTGTGGGAGGTAGTGGGGGTGGTGTAGGACCCAGCCATGACAAGCTCAATAGAGGCCTGAGTCCCAGTAGTTTACCCTGGTTCCGATACAGACTACAAACTGAGACTACCCAGGAAGAGACCATCCGAAGGGATTCC